GTCTCTCTCGGCGGCCTGGCGCCTCGCCACCGCGTCCACGCCATGATCGGCTGTGTTTTGGGCCTACGGCGGCTGACCAGACGTCTGCACCCTGCCGACCTGCTCGACGTCGGCAGTGCGCCTCCGATGGACAAGCGGGGCGGAGAATGCGTATCGCTTCATACGACACCCATATCGCGACGACTGACGACGTTGGTTGCCACAGGCGAATGCCGTTGCACGTCGCGTAAGCGAATAGGACGTGGAAGTTCGACCCGAGTCACCCAGTCAGGGACTCGGCCGGCGCGTCGACGCTGATTTTGCGATTCCGCTTTGTGGTCGCTGTGCTGTCGGCAGCAACCTGTGAGGCTACCAGAGCATGTGGGATGGGTCTGGGCGCATCGTGGAAGCATGGGATGCAGCTGAAGAGGATGCGGAAAGTCGGTGCGGAAACGGTGTCCGCGCGAGATGTGTGGTCGGTTTGTAGGGCGTTGTATGGGCCGAGTAGGATGCGGATAGGCGTGTCGTGAGTGGCGTGTGCGTGTGCTGTGCGTAGAGTGCGTGGTTGTGTGTGGCGGGTTGTGTGCAGCGTTTTGTTTGATTTTGGGTGGGTTGTCAAATTAGGACCGAGTGTAGCTCAGTTGGTAGAGCGATTGACTGTAGTGTTCTATACTGTGTCTCAGTATACTCGGAAATCAATTGGTCGCTGGTTCGATTCCGGCCACTCGGATTTTATCCATGTCTCCCGCGCACTCCTTTTTTCGTTCTGCGCTCCGTACGCCCCGATCCGCCTGCCCACGCTTCTCTGTAGGAACCCGATTCCTACCGTCATCTCAACCGCTACATGCTCTTCTTGAACCGATACCCCAGCCTCATGTTTTCAACGTGAACCGTCTGCAGATATGCCGGACGGGATGGCTGTCTTATCGCGAATGGCACCACATTCATGAAGATTGTCAAACATTTTTTGGGGCAAATGCAAGGATCGGGTAAAGGTCTGGCCGTAAAGCAGGAGGGTACATGGTCCGTGTAACTCCCGCCGTAGCAAGCTGGCGCAATGCCATGCCGTTCAAGTTAGCAACCAAAGGTGCTGCGGAGTTCCTGAGTGCGTGCATCCGACCTCAGAATATTGATCAGGCCGGGGCGTCAGTGGAGATATCTCTTCGCAAGGTGGTCGCTTAGCTGCAGGATGCTTAGGTGCCGCGTTCCAGGCGAACGATGTTAGGGGGAGCATGTAAGCGAACCACATCATACGAAACCTTAATCGATCTATGTGAGAATCAGCAATATTAGACTAGCCACCAGTGTATATCATCAAGATGGTCAAGCCAACAGATTCACCAGTTGAAGCGCGGTTGAAAATCCTCAATTGTTCGGCTGAAATGGCACTTCAGGCTGTCAACGCATAGGTTGCGTATTACAAGCAGTTGAAGCAGGACGTTAAAGTATTGATGGAGAGATTGGGGGGCCGAGTGCAAAGCTTCCTGTCACGAAAGGCGTTTGTAGACGCGGCCCTAGCTGATATACCACCGCCATTTGCTGAGGACATCCCCGACCCCATTGAGCGACACATCAGCGTTGAAGGCCATGAGCACCAAGAATAAGCTGAGTCACCACTAATCGAATTAAGACTTTAATTTTTTTTGAAAGCAAAACTACAATGACATACGTTGTTCCGTAAAACATAAAGTTTCTTCGCCTTCATCGAGCAGCCTCAACGGATCCCTCGACATAATTGGAGCCTGTCGATTTGCCTTTGTAGGATCGAAATGCCCTTGTAGTTTTCATCCACAGTGCTCAAAGCCTTTAGCTATGCTAAACATTTCTAAGCGCTGAAACAAAGGGAGAAGATCACACCCACTCTTGAACGTAGTGCCGCTGGAACCCTTTCTTGACGTACCCAAACAAATATTCTATCGGGTTGAAAAATTGCAGTAGGGAGAAAAACTGGCACAATACCAATACTTCGTATATGTACGAAATCGGGGTGCCTGTGGACGCGCTAGACTATAGCCGTTTTCACACTTGGGCATTCTCGAGGTTTTGTTTACCGATACTCTGTTTAATTTCAAATAAGTACTGTAAATACCAAAGACGTTCTGTTTCTCTATAAAGACCTTTCCCCGGGAACTGACGGCCCCGGATAAATCACTCGTTCTGGTGGACCGTGTATCTACTAGACGATTCGTCCTCCAAGTGCTCTTGATTCTCTAAGAACCGCAACCCGGGAACGGACGGGCTATCGAGGGAGAAAGCTCAAGGCGCTATATCACACTCGTCAAGACGCAGGTGCGGAAGAAGGACTTACAGACCCACAATGTACAAGAGCAACTGAAGGAGAAGGATCGAGATGGAGGACTAGCAGCAGGCCCTCCGAATAATACATTGAAGTGGAAATACTACAGCAATATTTGTATGGAATTATTTTTTTTGCAACCTCGAAAAATATTAATAACAGACGTCGAGTACTGTCAAACATTATTTTGTACCCCCTGCTGTACTATAAATCTCGGTCCCTGCCAGTCGTTAGCCTTCGAACTCTGACAGCCAACCACAAACTTTGTTGGCCAGCCGCAGCTTTTTGTCTTAGCACTTTGTAGGCCTCCGCATTCCTTAACTTACCATGGCCCCCACACCCGCGTTCACCAACAAGCAAGTCTGCGACTTCTTCTTCAAGCCCGTCCTCGACCACCAGGACGAGCCGACCAGCTTCTTTCGCTGTCGGTGCTCGAAGGTTCGCAAGCAAGACATCAAGACTGGTTACACGAACCTGATGAGCCACGTGCGCTCTCAACACCCCAACTTCACCGCAGAGATCGCCAACAGTGGCATGGCCGGTGGGACGCTGATTGGCTTCGTCGACACGAAAAACCAGACGGTCTACAGCTGGGTCGACTGGGCCGTCTCCTGTAACCTCCCCTTCTCGTTCCCGGAAGACGAGACGGTGGCAAAGTACGCGTCTGTTTCTCCGATCTCCACCGAGTCCCTCGTGAAGTACATGGGCCTTTTGACCAAAGCAGCTGAAGAAATTATCGCTGCTATTCTACTTGAGAAGTTTGGAATCGTCTTCGACGGGAGCACGTACGTGGTCGTGTTCGCGGTATTCGCCCACGATGGCAAGATTGAGAAGATTCTGCTTGCAATGCCCCCCCTGGTTGACGACGAAGTCATGGATCACTCAGCTCCTGCTCACGTCGACTTCCTCCAGACCATTCTGGGCTTCTTCAAGTGCACCTTGGCCAGCGTGCTCTATCTCGTTGGCGATAACTGCCCTACCAACGGTGCCGTTGCTACGCTAATGAGGGTGCCGTTTGTGGGGCGCGCCAGTCATCGACTTAGCTTGGCGGTAGTGGAGTACATGGAGGCTTACGAACCCCTACTCAACAAGGTGCAAGATTTGATGCGTAAATTACGCGGTCTGAATGCTTCGGCGAGTCTTCGGTAAGTTCACTTAACCATATTGCGATATTTATCTCGAAATTATTTTACTAAGTTTTAATTTAACATGCTCAGGAAAAAGACCGGTGCTGCGCCAGTCGACGCGGTGGTCGTCGACGTTCAACATGGTCAAGCGCTACTTCGACCTACAAGATGCAATCAACACGCTCGACGACTCAACAGCCGCTTTAATGCCGACTCGGCGCGAGGAAAACCAACCCAAGAGCCTCCTCGACGAGTTGAAGGCATTTGAGTCATCGTCCAAAAAACTACAGAGCTCAGAAGGGCTGTCGCTGCTGGACGCTCGCGACATCTTCGATGCTCTCATCGCTGAGCACCCTGGTGTTGAAAGCCACCTGGGAACCGACGATGCTGTCGTTCATCAACTTGAGTTCGAGGACGCCTGCGTGGGTGTGCTTCTCAACAAGACGGACTTGCTAACAGCGCAGCAACGAGCTCTACTGGCACCTTTTTCCGTCCCCGCAACCTCGTCCCCCGTGGTGGAGAACAAAAAACTTGGTTTCACGGATCGAGCGTTAAAAAGACGCAGAATGCTGCGTGAGCAGCCGTGTGAGTACCCTGAAATCGCAGTGATACCCCCCCCCCACTTCTAACATCCGCGAGCGCTTTTTCAGTCAGGCAAAGCATGTCCTGGGAAGCCACAGGCAAGGATTGCTTCCTGTTCATCTGGAGACCATTCTCTTCCTCAAGGTGAACCGGCAGCTGTGGGGTGTGAAGACGGTAGCAGACGTAGTGAACGCTACAAAGTGAGATGCAGGACTTAGTGGTACGATATTGCGCGATCAGCAGGAATAATGTATGTATCCGTACCAAGCACTTCCCTACAATAAGTTACTTTGCTGATTGACTTAAATGTCATTGCAGTCGAATTTTCGGAAGGCCTGACTAGCAGCTTAGCCTGCAGATTGAGGAGAAGGGCCGCATTTTCAGCGTACTCCAAAGTCAAATTCTGTATCGCAGAGCCCTATTATGGACCTCATTAACCCCCCCAAGGACCACGCCGACTTATATAACCTTTCGTTTGCCTAACATGTTGCAATATACACCATGTTAAGGCCATGATAACACTTCTTTTTAGTATGGTCTGTAATAAGTACGGTTATACGTCACATACCTGCATACTTTATGCCATCAAATATATTATCCTCAAAGCCTCTTATCTAGACTTTTATCATCCTTCCCACTAATGTACATCCCTTAACATGTTATACCTACAACATATTAAGGTCTGTTCACTTTCACACGTTGCCCTATACAACCTTGGTCCTTCTGGGGTTAACACTCTCGACGTGGGGACAAAGCACCTTAACGGATCCGTGGACATGTTCTTCTTCGTGAGGAAGCGCGTGAAGGGCATTGGGCGGGACGAGCGGTGCGAATTATTTGCTCTGAAAAAAACTGCTCATAGTGCAAGCGGACCGCAACGGGGGCATGAAACCGACGCTCAGCAGTGTAGGGGAAGTACCCCTCCTTTCGGATGTGGTGGGAGAGCTCTTCATCGGACGCGAAGAGTCCTTGCACGATATCTCGCACGCCACACGGATACTCAAGGCTGGTGTCTGCATGTTTGCCACTCGCCAGATATAATCAGGGGGGTAAGTCGAGTTGAGGATACTTTTTATTTTTATATTGTCTGGCCGATGGCGGCTAGCAACGTGTCGCGCATTGCGTCGGGCAACCGTTGAAGCGGAGGCGCAATCTCGGCAAATTACACTGTAAATCGCCTTTACTACTCGGATCACCGCGCGGTTCGGCTCCGTCGTATTTCTAAGCGCGATCCCTTTTTCGGGTGGGTATCCCAGTGGCCGCGTCCCGGTGCTTCCGTGCAAGCCGCAGTGTTCGCGCACTGACGGACACGATGCGGCTAGCACCGAGTCATGGTTGAAGGAGCGTGTGGGTAAAGGCTTGCACCGACGCTGAGAAGAGCTAGAAAAGGCGGAACGTCACGAGATCATTCGCAACAATCCTGACGAGGACCGCACAGTTCTCCTAGCGTTGTGCTACACGGCAGAGAGGATCTGACGAGCTACACTAACCGCGGATGGGGTGTTCAAACGCCTACGAAAATGAGTGATGAGCCTGGGCAAGCGGGCAATACCAATATAGAGATTGGTCGCGTGCTAATTGTACCTGAAGGAGATTGCAACAAGATTACAGAGGAGTAATTGTCCAAGCATGTTACCTTGTGTAAAGATATGATCAGCGCAGCATTTATTGCAGAGATTACAGCTATGGCAGAAGCTACCCGGGAAGGTGATTTGGAGAGGGTGCGGGCTAACATGGGAGAAGGTTACAACAGTGAACAGGTATGGGGTCGATCAGGTTGGCGATGGTGCTTTATCGGACCCGTTTCTAGAAAATGGCGCCATTGCTAGAAACTTCACGGGAGCTCTGTGCGAATTAAGCAGAATAGTAGCAACATCATTCTTTAAAGCGAACCTTTTGCGACTGAGAAGCTTGTCTACATCGCGACCCTGAAGCTGATATTACCGCTTGGCTCATTAGCCAAACATAGTATTTGTTGATATGCTGAATCGAAAGGCAGTAAACGTGGTGGCAATCGTGACCAAGAAAATTGTAACCGGCACGGGACTTCCAGTGTACATCGGTAAACGGACATGGTTCGCTTGCAACGGTCGTATCACCCCACCCCACCCCAGTCCTACCGCCCCGGAAAATGCCTAGGTAGTCCTCTGTAAAGACGGCGTCATCTCTAAATATCATTTAATACCTTCCATCTAGATCGGGGCTATCCGGTCGGCCCAGTAAAGCAATGGCTGTATACAAAAGCCGACGCGGATACGTGAGCAAGGGAACAGAGCGCTATTGAAGCATAGAGTTCAAGTAGAGGGAACACGGTATTCGGATAAGTGTGTTGTCACGTCACTGCTTCCACCATGTTGATACTGGTCTTCACCTAGCTGAAGCTGCACATCAATACTGGCACGGACTAAAGCAACAAACCGAAACATTAGTACTCATTATATGTGAGGTTTCTTTTCCGCACAAAATCTTACCTAAATACTGACGATGGACTAGCCAGCAGTGCCACGCAATCAAGTCAGATTGATCGTCTTTGTGCTCTTGGCTCCGTATCGCTGGATGTCTTGTCCACGTCGGTCACCTGCGACATCTGGTCGCTCTTAAAATCGTCCGCTTTTAACTTACCTCGAGCACCTTCAACACGTTCGTGCTGCCCTCATGGTAGGGGACGAAGAACTTACCTTCGGTGGTGCGAGATTGATCACCTCCACTAAATGCTCCTTCAACAGCACAACCACCAGTAGCAGCAAGAGCCCTTCAACTACGAACACAACCCAGTAACGGAAGTCCACCGAATCCTACAGTAGTGAATCGCAATAACTGTTGAAGTGAGACGTCTAAAACTTTTTAATATTTTTTGACTTCGGCCCTTAAGCGTATTTCTACAGCGGACGATCAAACCGCGTATGAGACGGTTTCAAACAAAACAAAATGATGCTCAGGCGCCATTTCGAGTTTTCGAAATAATCGTGTTTTAAGTGGACCAATCCATTTTCGCACATAACCGGACATCAAAAGCTAGAAATGAATATCACTCGTAAATAGCATTAATACACTCTTATTCGATTACTTTAAGATTGGGCTATCCGACTATATACAATAGGCGGAGTTGAGCCATCGAAATTGAGCAGAAACACTAAGCACACATGTGCAGAACTGGCAAGCAGAAAAATTACGCAAAAGTAAGCAGAAATCGCGAAGGGGAGAGTGTCGAACTTTCTCTAATATTATCGTACTTAGTAGACAGTTTGCCCCCCCCCTCCGACGAAGGGCAGCACAGCGAGGGAGCACTTGTCATCTCGGGCGTGCGCATTGTGACATCTGAGTGGCAGACGCAGTGCCCATTTGCACCATCGTGAGCGCGTTCGATGGTGTCCGTACGGTTGCCGCCGACGGCGATGTTGGCGCGAGACGTGCAGCGGTACTGTGGCAGCGCAAGCACGCCAAAGTGTCGTCGCCCATTATCTACTTCCGCGTGTCGATGACGGCCGGTTGAGGCGCTGTTTCGCCTCAAAATGGTTGCCCAGGTGGCCCTCTGGCGAAAGGCACCGAATACGTTGCTTATTTGCGCAGGGTCGAAATTGAACTTCGAAAGTAGCTGCGTCAGTGAATTCAGGCAAAGAATCACAATCGTTTTGTCAAATCTCAGTGAAAATTACTGATTTGTGGAAATTCCTCCAAAGTTGACGTATTAGCCACCTCCGGAGGTGGCTTGTTTTGAAACTAAGCATAAAATTGTCGTAAAAGGAAGCATGAACAGGCAAGATTTCTGAGCAGCTTTTTTGCATGGTTCGACTCTGCCTAATACATCAACTTAGCTACAGTAGTATAAGACGCGTGCTTACAAATTTCAAGTTATTTGTGGAGCTGTAGTAGTACTACCAATACTACCGATAATACGTGCAGGCAGCGCACAATTAATGCTACATAAAATAGTATTACTGACGGTACTTACTCGGTCTACTACACTACATATACAGTGAGCCAATTTCCCATATACATGAGCTACACTTGAAGCCCCCCCCCAAGTGGTTAATACCTAGGATGCTTGCAACTATGTTCTCGCACATGACGATTAAGGGCGGAGCGAAGCCCGACTTCTGCATGTGGCCCAATAGGATGAAATTGCAGGTGGTCTTGAGGTCCTTGCGGCCCGGCATCATGCACGCGAACAGTGCGTAGTGGCGCGGTCGACGGCGTCTCCTCCAAGGTCGACCAGCTCACCGATAGCACGCATAGGGCTCTCAACTCGGTGCATTTTGGTAGCGTCAATACACCCAACACCGACGATAACTTAAGACTAAGATTAATGTCAGCTTAACAGATCCTGCGGCTGCGAAGCAGGCGCAGGTGAAGCGCTGTAGAGAGTAACTGGGCTTTACAACAATAAGGTTACAGTAGCCCCAGAAAACGTTCGACCAGGTCCTTACATACATGCTTCTACTAAATTTCAGAGCTTTGTCTGATAGTCTAGAGTTACTACTGTAGTATTATTGTTGGAAGAAACGTTAGAACTTGCAGTCTGTGTCTTGATACGCAAAATGGAGAGTGAGGTTAGAAAGCTACCGCCTCTACCTGCTTATCTACTTGTACCTCCGTCTGAACTGGCCGGCGCTCTCTCCTGATCGTAGAATCTGCAGATTCTACAGATCCTCATTTCAACACTCCTCCTCGCTGACGATTTCAGTGATTTTCTTAAAACTTCAGTATAACCCGATTCGAGCTCGAAGCTCGAGCATCTTTGGTGCAGACACCGCCTTTGCCAGCACGTCCGCTAGCATTTCCTTGGTCTCCAAGTATTCATCCTGCAACCCACCACGTTGCACGTAATCCCCGACGAACTTGATTCGCACGTCAATATACCTTGCCTTGCCTTGCCTGACGACTGGTCTCCTTCGAGTTGCTTTAGCGCAGCTTGGTTGTCCACGCATAGCTTCATCGGCACCTCGAGCAACACCTTCAGCTCGCTCAGAAGCTCCCGCACTCCAAGCAATTCCTGTGCCACCACAGACACGGCGGTGTACTCAGCTTCCATCGTGGAAAGCGAGACACCACCTTGCTTTTTGCAGATCCAGCTGACGGCATGGCCGGTCAACTTCCTGCAGTCTTATCAGCCGCATAGTCTGCATCACTGTACCCAACCACGCGCATCGGCTGGTCTAAACCACCGTGTCCTTTCATACACAGCTTCAGCGACCTCATTCCAGCTAAATAGCGCAGCACGCGCTTAGCTCACTTCCAATTCGAAACTGTTGGTGCATGCGTCCTACGCGTCGACTTGTGAACGGCGTACGCAATATCTGGTCTGGTGCAGCAGCTGATCCAGAGCAAACTTCCAACTAGAGATAAGTACCAGTATCACCTTTCGTCATATCGATGACAGCTGCAAACGCCACGCCGAGTTCCTGCTCGTTGCCGCGGCTACATGTCTAGCCTTCAGCCGCTCAATCAACCCTTCGACGACCAGCTTCGTCTTGAAGACCTACTTCGAGCGCAAGATGCGCGCGTTCTTTGGCCGTCGCACCACTTCCTAGACACCGTTGTGCTCCAGAGCCATGAGCTCTTCCATTATGACTTTTATCCAGGCGGCCTTGAGTCGGCCGCGTATGACCTCTCTGTAGTTTCTGGGGCCGCGTTTCATCACGTTCTTCACGACGTTTCCTCCAGTCGTAGTCTGCTGCTCGGCCTCGGCCGATTCAACTCACACAACTTGCACAACTGAACGAGTCACATGTCTTTCCCTCGTCTAAGATCTCTTTTTCTTGGCTGTTTTTATCAGCAGCTCCGCCGCTCTGCTCACTAGACTCCTCCTCCGCCTCAGCTTCGCCCCCGTCTTGATACAGTCTCTGCGCCTGCAAGTTCTCAGTCTTGTTCAGGGTGTCGATTTTCTGCACGTGCTGAGACGTCACCACTTTCTTGTCCATGGGCAAGTACACCCTGTACCCCTTCACCTCCTCGCCGATTCCGATGATCCTGCTGGGCTCTCTGCGAGAAGTTCTTGTTGCTCGGTGCTCTGTAGACCGTGCATGGCGACCCCAAGACCCCGAGCTTGCTGCATTGAGACGCCTCCTTCGTCAGGACCTTCAGCGGCGACGCACATTCTGGATTTACGTTGGTCGGCGCTGTGTTGAGTATGCAGGCCGCGTACTGCACCGCATCTTCCCAAAAACGGAGCGCCAGTTCACACGCAAAAACCACGCAACGCGCCATATTCATGACGGTGCGATGCATCCGTTGTGCTTTCATGTTGCTAACCGGGCTGTTGGCTTCGCTGCGCTGCCTCGCTACGCAGTGGTCTTGCAGAACAGATCTCCATTCTGATATTCTCCGCCCGAATCCGTCCTCAGCACTCGAATCTGACCATTGAACTCCTTCTGGAAAACACCAAGAAGTGTTCGAACTTCTTCGCAGCCTGATCCTCGTCGCCAACACCAGCCTCACATAGTTGCTCTTGTGATCACCAAAGTTGGACATGTACCGGTTCCCGAGCCGATCTCTAGGCGTCATCAGCCCCTTCAGGTCCGAGCATATCACCCCGCCAATGCGATCTATGGGTGAGTGCGCGCCACTTTCGTTCTGCAATTGTCTCCCTTTGCTCTGTTTGCCTTCTGCACAAGTGTGGCAGCTCACACGCTTGTGGTCCGTGAGTGCGACCTCAGAGCTCGGGTCCCGTGCAAGTCTCTCTACCGGGTCGTAGCTCAAAGGGACCAGCCAGTTGTGGAAGTCCGTACACGGGGCCACCTTGTCGTTGCTGTGCACCTCTTCCTCCAGCACCGCCATAATGACCTCGATCAGCGCCTCTGCAGTTTCACGACCTTTCCTTCCACTACCGGCATCTTCTTCCGGAGGTCGACGTAGAACACTACTCGCCTTATGACCTTGGCCGCTAAGACACGCCGTCCATCTCGGTGTGCCAGCGTATACCCCATCATGTACAGAGTACCGTAAGATAACTGTGTGTATGCTACATACTGAGCTTTAGAGTCTGCTCCTTTCCGCACGCCTTGACGCGCAACGTGAGCGCTCCCTTCATCCTGATGTTGAGCGGGTCTCCATTCGGCTGCGCGCACGAGTCCACGCCAAATCCTCGAGTCATGATTGTTCGTTCACCACGTGACGACTCGAACCACTGTCCAAGCTCCGGTCACTGCCAGCCTCAATGGAAGCGTCGCTTACTGCAAGTGCGAGGTTCGCTCTTCCTTGCCCACACACACAGCCCTCAGGTGTCCAACCTCCCCGCACTTGTGACACTGACGAGTTTCTTTCCCTCCTCGGTCCCTAATTTCCCCGACGAGCTCATGCCCGAGGTTCTTCTTCTTGACCTGGATCTCCCACGCTTGAGCAAAGTGGGCGAGCTCCCCCGTGTACGCCAAGTAATCCGTGTGTGTGATGTCAACCTTGGCCATGAGCAATTTTCTCAGGTCCGTCGAGGCATACTGCACAACCGTCCGCCTCTGAGACCACCACCAAGTACGTGTAGTGTTCTGGACAAGTCTGTTCTGGGTCATTCGGTGCCGTGAACAGATGCATCGCCTGCGGAGGCGTTATGTTGGTCATGAACGTTTCCAGCATCGTCTTCATGACGTACTACAGCGTCGGCATCTGGTACCACCACGTCTCCACCTAGTATCTCTCAGCAGTCCCCGTCAAGTAATTCCCCAACAGTCGACCTTCACGAACTCCGTCTACGTGAACCCGCAGGCTGCCTGCAAAAGCAGTATCTGCCTCTCAAAGCGCTTGTCCCAGTTGAGGAATCCAGATCCGAGCCCCATGTAGAGCTCCTTGCCATTGAAGGGCCTGATGGTCAGTTTCTTCTGGCGCGTATTGGGGTCGCCGATTCCCTCTTGACCATGTCCATGTCCACATCCGCCTTGGGCTTGACGTGGTGGGTAAAATGGGGGTACTCCGTGCGCCGCTCATGCTTGAGTCGTCCGTGCTTGCGCTGCCTGCTCTGCTTGCTGAGCTGCGTAGAGGTCCTTCAGGCGGGAAAGAGGTACCTCGTGAACTTGATGCTGCGCTGCGAAGTACTGGTGGACTGGCTCCACTCTTCGCGGTGGCGTCATCATCGGTGGTGGTCTTGGCGACCCAGCCAGCGGGTCGATGTGCATGCGCGCGTCCATCCCCATTAGTGAGGCAAACTGTTGGAAAAGGTAGGGCGCCGCAGGGATTGAACTCACAACATACCTGTAGAACATAGCTCGTTAGACCGTTACACCATACAGGCGCCCCGGTCGTCGTCTCTTTGGTCTGGGACTTGACACTGTCTGATTGCATATTCCAACACAAACGGGCTTGCGGGGGGGAGTCATGAACGTGTCAACCCTCAACTCATTCTTCTTGTCCGCCAGCGTCTTTTCCGGTATAGATTTTGACTCCTCCAGCTTGCCCATCCGCGCGGCTATAGTGCAGCAGTGCCATCATCTCCGTTTCTGCCCTCCACCGTTACCCCCAGCACCAGCATTCGTGACGTCGGGAGCGTGGCTGCTGCCCCTTTCAAAAGCTGCGGCAAGCTTCTCCGCTTCCCCGGCGTGGCTCATGCCAGTCTTGGCTTGAGCGACGTCGGGCGCCGGCACGGGCATCTCCTGTTCGAGCTCGGCGGCTTCCGAGGCTGCGGTCATTTGGGCTCAAAACCTGTTGGAAGGTAACGTAAGAGCTTGCCGTATGTGTCTTGATACGCAAAATGGTGAGTGAGATTAGAAAACTGCCGACTCTACCTGCCACCTACTTGCACCTCTGTCAGAACGGGTCGGCGCTCTCGCCTGATCGTAGAATCGGCAGATCCTATAGATTCCCGAAAATGGAGATTATTTTTTCGAAAGTGCCTGTTATAAATGCGGGTTCCTGATTGGCTCATGACACTCTTTTTCGTCTTGATCTTCAGTGAACATAAGAGAAGTAACGTACTTTTAAAGAGCTATCTGCTGAACCTAGGCCCATGACTTGGTCTGTTGCAGATTTAACACAACACATCGTCAAAACCATCTAATCTGTCTTGTTGACGTACTTTATTGGCTTGTCACCGTAGTTGCGCGAAACGTGGGCGATACATGGACTGGATTCCATAGAAAGACCGACACATGGGCGCGAGCGGGTATAGGTTTACTTAGATTTAGCTTTGGGTTTAGCTTTACAGGTGCGGACACTCTTAGACATTAGAATTAGCTCCTAGCGGTGGAGATGCTCTAAAACAATTAACATGGGCCGCTGCGATACGTAATGCTCCACTACCGTAGTTTTTTTACTTTATTTTCCATGATTTGGACAAAAGATCGCGTCGTATCTTGCCTTTTGATAACCATCACTTGCCAACTTGTCGCCGACTACACCAACCCAAGCATGAAGCCGCCTACCTCGCTGCTGCTGCTGCTGCTACTCTTAGGCCTCAGCTCCATCGCCTGCAGCAGCCAAGAGGAAACCTCGTCGACGACCGAAGCCGCCGCCACCTCGGAAGTTGCCACCGTCGACACCACCTCCTCTGAAGTCACCACCTCTGACGTCCCCGTTTCTGAGCCCAAGGAGTCCTCGTGGGGGCGAATCTACCTGCGTAACGGGCTGACCCCGATCCAGTACTTCCGCGACGCATTCGGCGGTCCGATGGCACGCCATGAAGTCTCCTTCTACTTCCCCAAGCGTGACGAGGACCGGTTCGGCTGCGAGCAGCTCCCCGAGCCAGAGCAGCTCGAAGTTGAGGCTGCCAATCGCTCGGCGGTGCTCGTGGTGGACCGTGGCGAGTGCACATTTGAGCGCAAGGCGCGACTGGCCGACCAGATGGGTGCCGCAGCACTCTTGGTGGTGAGCCCGACAGACGACGTGAGCGCGCCCGTGGCAGCGCTCAAGGACGAGGACGGAGAGATCTCCATCGCCTCTGCCATGATCCGACGGACTGCCGGCGACATGTTGCGCATCGCGGCCAAGCAGATGCCCATCCACGGACGCCTCATCTCGATGACCTGCGAGCGCAAGCCTTACACGTGCAAACCGCGATTCGAGGATGAGGAAGACTACATTGAAACTTCCCCGGCTCGGAGTGGGTTGGTGTTGTCCATGGGGGTGGAACAGGACGAAGATAACGATGGCGCTCGTCTGGGCAGCTTCCTGGCTGCAACCTATGGCAGTGTGCTCCCAACGAGAATGTCCCTCCCTCTAGCTGCGCCACTTGATGGTAACCAAGCGTGTATCGATGCGACGGAGGATACCTCGACCCATTCAGAGTTTTCAGGGAAGGTTGTGCTCCTACCGACGGGCGAGGCGGGGCAGTGCTCCGAGTTTGAAAAGGTTTCCAACGCTCAGCGTCGGGATGCGAGCGTGGTGTTGCTCCTGCAGCAGGACAACGCGACCGTGATGACGCACCCTGGCGTTGAGGTGAGCTGGCACGCGTACAACATCACGATCCCCGTGCTTGCAGTGACCAGCAACACGGGCGCCAATCTGGCAACTCTCAAGAGCGAACAAGGCGAAGCCGCGAGCCTGAGTTTTGCAGTAAGCAACGGTATTGCAGACGCCTGGGAGCTGGTGATGAAACACTCGCAACGCTCAGCCTGGCCGAAGAGACTGAAGAGATGCAGTAAGACACTGGCGAAGCTGCTCGCACAGATTCGTGGACTTGGTGCTGACGACGAGATGGAGGCGGCGCTTCAGAACGTGTTCATTAATGTCGTCGGCGGGAGCCTCCAAGAATGGGAGAAAATCGCACACCCCGACGAAGATACAGAAGACGCTCACAAAGTGCCGGAAGACAGCTCTTCAGAAAAGATCATTCAGAGTATGAAGAAATCGCAAGCTCGCGACGAGCTATAGGACAGCAACTGGTTCTTACGCTTGACCACACGCAGATACGGCTCCATTCACATTGTCTTAGCAGCGTTTTGATAACCAGAACAACGAACTGGATAATGGTCTGAATTGTTGTGGCACCCTTGCTTGACTTGATGAAGGGCTGTACTGCTTAAAGTCCAATCCAGTAGGACCGGCCGTTCGGATTGTGGATGGGCACGTGGCGCTTACCATCGCCCGAAGACACAGACCACTCGTACCAAACACGGTTGTTGGACTCAAGTCGCCAGAAGTTCACCACGACCTCTTCGCCCTTCTGGAAACGGAGGGGCTCGCGCAGCGGGAAGTAAATGGGGAACCAACTGAACATGCCATCCGAATGCGTGTCCGGCTCGATGCTCAGCGTGACGTCACCAAACAGCACAGAGTCGAAGTAGCCCGCCAGTCCATGGACGACAGCGCTCTCAGCAGCGGTAAAGCGAAGCTCTGCCTGTCTCCTGTTGTCGATCCTCGCGTTGAATTTCGGGTGCGTGAACTGAAAGCAGCGCTGCGTGGGAGCCAACGCGTAAAAGTTGTGCAGTCTCACAACGTACGGGGTCTCGAAACTCTTCAGCGAGTCGTGCACCTTCACTTCATTCCAAAGCTTCGAGGACATCACAGGCGCCACGAACGATGTGTACTCGCGTGGGATGCTAATGCCGTTTTCTACAAAATCACAGCAATTAGCGTCTTGCAACAGTGACATCATTGAAACGACATGTGTACGTACCATGCAAAAAGTCTTGGGCGCCATCTAAACATTCAGGGGACAGCTCGTTGTCACCAAACGATCCCAGCAGCTCGCTCACCATAATGTCGGCGCGCTCCTCCGTGCGCCAGTTGCGCATATCCGACGCGATGATCGTGACGTTGTCCCACTTCTCCGAAATCTTAAGGTTGCGCAGTGTAATAACTGCGTTCGGGTTCTTCTCCACAGCAAACATACGCGTCTTACGGTTCGCAATAGTAGCAGCGCGAAGAGCGCAGCGCACGAGGGGTCCTCGACCGGCGCCAACGACCATAACAACAGACTCCTTGTCCTCGGGAGTTTGCTCGAGCGCCTTTGTGATGGCCTTCTCGTACTGGTTGTACTTGAAGGCGTCCTGCTCAAATGTTTCGTACGTCTGTGACTCCAAATTGTCCATAAGGGGCTGCAGGGGGGCCTGAAGGTAGTCCAGATACGGTGCTTCGAACTGCGCCTTGCGGTCCTGGCTCGGACGCTTGCTGTAGAGGAAGTGCAGATACTGCACATACGGCAACATCTTGCCACGGTGACGTGGTCGCCCGCACAAGTAGAACTGGACATTGTGCTGGAAGAGCTGCGCCATCAGCTTCTGGTGTCGCTGCGAAAGCGCTGGGTAGCCCTTTCGGTTAGTCAGGAAGATGTCCGTCGGAATGATGGCCGCCTATGTGCAAACAAACCGTCAGCAACACGTCTACGAGATGGCAATATTGTAGCTAGACTGCAACCCACCTTCACGGGCTCGCCAAGCCAGCGTTGGATCTCCTCGGCACTAGGCAGATCTGCCGTGATCTCTATCGCCACGTGTAGCTTCGGGTGATACTCACAGCGAGCACGCAGCGAGTCCCAGAGTTCCCACGGGTCCGTGCGAGCCTCGTCCTCGTCCTCGTCTGTCTCCATCATGGCAGCGGCACGCAGTCCAGCCACCGCGACCAGCTCCATCGGGTCCTTGGCATTGGATCGCTGCTTGGGCGTCAGCGGGATGCGCACCCAGAACTGCAGATACTGCGCCTGCGTGAGCGACTGGTTCAGCACGCGCGCGTAGTTGGCCGAGGCGTGAGCGTGATGCGGAGTCGGCAGCATCACAGCCGGCACCGAGAGGTGCGAGGCCCAGGCTACCTCCTGCTTGAAGACCTTCTCAGCGCTCAGGCGCCCGTCCAGCGTGAGCGCATCCAGGTCCATCCACTTGGAGATGTTGCCCACCACCGACGCCGTCCAGCCGCGCGAGTCCATGACCAGATCCGAGCGGGCTTGGGGGCCGTCACGGGTGTCCGAGAGCTCACGGTCGTCACGCTTGAAGCTGGCAGTACCCCCGAGTCAGTGGTGTATTTATTTCAAATAGATGTATAATTGTATAATTGCATTCCATTACCGAGGGTGGAAGAGCGGCGCCACGACGCCGTTCATCTCGTCCCCATAGACCTGCAGCAAGTACAGACCATACATAGTCACAGTGAGAAGCGGAAGAGGTAGATGACAGAGCAGGCAGCGCATCACACCTTGTCGAGCGTCGCCGGCAGGTCATGGACGAAGGACGTCTCGAGCCCCACGAAGATGCGGCTCATTGTTGCTGTGGATTTTGGCTTGGCTGGTGATTGATTGATTGGCTCGTTTCGATTCAGTATAGTGACATGGATAGACTAATAGTGACATGTGTGACCAAAAGCTGATTGGCTGAATTGAATTGAATTGCGTATCTTCACTCACTTCGAATCAGGTGAGCATTCCAGCACCATGCGCTGCGTGTGGCTCGCGTTGCTTCTGCTCTCGGCGCTGGGCGTGCGCGCCGAGCCCCAAGCTACCCAACTCGTCCCAGCCAGCGACGAGGACGCGGCGCTGCTGCGCTCTGGAGCTGAGGAAACTCGCCAGCAGTTCGAGGAGTTCGTGGAGAACGCGACGCTGTCTGCCGCCTTCTCGGGCTGCGGGCTCTGCCAGCAAACAGGCCAGTGTGACCACGCCTTCCGCGGCCAACCGGGCCAGTTTTGCGTCGGCTTGGCGTCTGGAGCGCCGTGCTGCTGCCCACGGGACGCGCAGTGCGCTGCCAGCCCGTACGAGTGTCGCTGCCGACGCGTAGTGCCCACCTACCACTACGGCGGCGACGACTACCATCCGAGCTCGTCATCGAGCGGAGTGTCGGGTACATTCATCTTCTTCGCGCTGCTGCTGCTCTGCTGCGTGTGCTGCTGCTACCTGCCGGCGCGTCGCGCTCAGCAGGAGAGGGAAGAGCAATTCGTGTACGCTCAGCCCGTTGCGACCGGCCAGTATGGCACGTACCCCGCAGGCCAAGCGCCGCAGGCTCCTTACGCCTATGCGTCGGCGCCTGTGGCGTACGAGTCGTCTCCGTATCATGAGAGCGGCAGTTCAAATACGATGGCCGCGGGTGCGCTTGGGGCGCTGGGAGGCTTGGGCGTTGGCGCAGCACTGGGATCCATGCTCGGTGGCCACAACAACAACAACAACAACAGTGGATACAGCGGCTACAGCGGTGGCGTTTCCGACAACACGTACACTTTCAGCGGCGACACGGGCGGCGGCGATTTCGGCGGGGACGGCGGCGACGACGACATGTTCGCGGGCGACTCATGATCGTCGCAGTGAAGAAAGGACAAGGACGAAGCAGCAATATATGTAGTGATGCCTACCGGTAGTTGCCCAGAACGCTCGACCCACATAAAACCAATGAAACGATATGAGTTGTGCGCGTAGCAGCGGCCGCGTTGACTGGGCGAGGCCTGGATAAATGCTGCTGCTCAAAATGACACCAGCCCTGATAGCCGGCGGAGATACTACAGTAGTAGTAGTTATCAGAAGATGGCCGCTGGGTCTCCACTGGCATCACAAACGAACTGCGCCAAATGACCCCGATCTTGTCTCAAAAACGCTCTACTCGTGGGGCACTAGTCGTGGCAACTCACAAGCTGCAGGACGTGAACGCTTGTGCGCCGTGCCCGCCATCCTTCACCACCCAGCTCACCCATTGAGACCTGCTAAACCTGCGCCTGTATCCCTCCCTCCATGCCGCTAGTAGCGGCCCGCTACCACCCTCCTCTGACTATGCACGCCTCTTCCTCCCTTTTTTGATCACAAGCAACTCGTAGATACATTTTCTGATGTTTTCACTTTCTTTGCTGGGGGGTCTTTTGAGAAGACGCCTCCTTTGCTTTGCGGTTGCTTGCCGAACTCAGCTCGCTTCCACGCTTGCGGTCGTTCGCCAGCCTTCAACGCACATACTACTACACGGGGACACGCGAGCCAGTAGTCGGCCGCGCTTACTTGGTTACGAGCACCTTCTTGAGCGACTCGACGCGGACGGGGCCCGCCCGTGAGCGCACTGGGTACCGCTCCTGGTACACGACCTCGCACTTGTTGTTGGTCTTGATGTCCTTGCACAGCGCCTCCCATACCTTGTTCTTCTTCATCTGGATGGGGGTCACGGGCTCCTGCACCTCCTCGCCGCTCGCGTACACGCGCTCGCCGACCTCGGCCTCCGGGCTCGGGTCCAGCAGCTCCACCTTGCCCTTGTCGTTGGCGACGAGCAGGATGGCGCCCGTGGAGCGCGTGCGCACGACCTTGACCATCTTGAGGTTGCAGAGCACCACGACCTTGCGGTCCACGAGCTCCTCCTCGGCGAAGTACGGCTGGTGCTCCATGACCATCTCGAGCTCCTCGCCCTTGCCGATGTCCACCTTCTCGATGTAGTGGCGCTCCGAGTTCGGGTGCGCCTTCACCTCGGTGATCTTGCCCACCCGCAGGTCCAGCTGGGAGAAGACGATCGGAGAGCTGTACACGTCGGACTTGACCATGGCTTTCGAAGGCTCTTGGTTTTTGGGTTGGTTTGCTTGGGCAGCTGGGGAGGGGTCCTGCCTGCTTGGATGGAGAACCGCTTGCGCACTGGAAGACAACTTGGAGAATGACAGCTTCGGAGCCCCTGGCGTTGGAAGCCGCTGGGTGTACGTACCCCCAAGCATTTGAAAGGATCCAGCTGGGTGAGGAGCCCCAAGACAGCGGGGCCAACTTCAAGCACGGCGGGCGGGGTTTCCGCCAATCGCATTGGCGCGTTCATGGAAAGGGCGCGTCCGCCGACGCCGATTGGCCGGAAAGTGCCGCGGGTGCCCACGCGCGTGTCTTGCCTGCCGGGCTCAAGTGTGTGCGTTCGTGCTGGCAGCAGGCAGGCAGCCCTCGTGTCCCAAGCTCCTGCTTCTCGATGAGAGGTAAGTCGAAGGCGCGGCGGCTATAAGGTCAAGCAAGCGTAGCGTCCTGGTCTGCGGGGCCCTGGGCCGTGCCAAAGTGAGACCACGTACAGTAAGCATGGAATCGATCCAGGCTGATGAGCATCATCGCCGCGCGCGGCGCTTCGCTCGAGGGGATGGGCACGTCTATGTTGAAGTCAGCTCGACCTGCGAGATCTAATACTGCTTGAAGTTCCAGGGCGCCTGGAGCTTCAGCGCCCCGACCGGAGCGCGGCATACAAAGCGCAAGACGCGCCGACGCGGCCGAGCGCCTGGAGCGCTGATCGCTGCCGTCCAGACATGCGCACGAGGCTGCTTGGTGTGCGCTGTCCAAGCAGCAGCGGGATGTGCCGGTGGGATGCCGGCAGCGCTGTGTACGCACGTGTTGTCACGCTGGCTTCGACCGGAGATTGACTGGGCTCCCTAGCCCGCAGGCGCCACAGCGGACGTCGGACCATGCAGTTGGTGCTGCTGCTGTACGCACATGCTGTCAATGAAGCGAGCGGTGCGGTGGCGACTACACAAGGAGGAGGCTCGACGCAGCGACACTGTGTCACAACTTCAGAAGTATCCTCGCGTCTGTCCCAGGGCGTTAATCGGTAATTGGTAGCCATGTAAAGAGATATAAGACAGAGTGGTGCGAGCTAAACGAGCTGCGAGCCATCTTTCAGTAAAAGCACTGAAGCTAGTGTAAGTTGGCAAGAAATTCGAATGCGGCAGGTTTAACCATCGTAGAATAAAAGCGACCTTGAACGTGTGGTGTCTTATCTCCCGCTCGAGCTTCATGCTAAATGTCGCCATGAGCGCCCGCATACTTGCTAAAACAAAAAGCTCTTTACGAGAGCTACATGTTACTGGGGTAACTTGAAGTGGGCGAACCCTTTCAAATCTGATAATTATCAGGTTTTCGTCGTCGAGTTTGCAGAAAAAGGGCATACCAAAAACACGCAGTGACGAGACCTCTACGTTCATTCGTTGAAAACTACATGTAGAACCGCGTCGGAATCAAACATTGCCGACCCTTGACTGCGCGATTTATCAAGATGCCAATGCTGGAGCTCACTTGTGTCGGGGATCACATTCTTCCTCTGTGATCCCCTGAATGTTCGTCAATGCGTGTTTATCGGTTGGCCGTGCTCTGGGCGGCAGGCGCCGGAAACCGAGGAATTTCCATAAATCAGTGATTTTCACTGAGATTTGACAAAATGATTGTGACAGTTTGCCTGAATTCACTGATGCAGTATCAGTAGTATCGTACTAGCGCGTCCATACAATTCGCAAGTCAAATGTAGACCTATAGTAATACTATAAATAGTACATGTAGATAGTATGTTACCTACCACAACTAGTACTACAGAATATAGTATCACTGTCGATGTTATTAATACATACTCCGGTTGCTACGGTACAGTAGACAGGCGACCCCTTCCTAGCGGTTAAGGTGTGGGATGCTTGCAACTACCAGCCACAAACTGGGTTCGTGGGGTTTGCTGCGTTTAGTGCCTTTTTGGTGGTTATACTTTTTGCACTATACAACTTGTCTGGACAAACATTAAAACAACTTTATTCGTTGGTCGTCTCGAGGATTCACTACGAAATACAAGGGTCCAAGCTTCTCCACAATTGTTTTGCATCTGCCACCTCCGCCGAAACCCAGCTTTTTTTCGCGATAGAACAACGCATATAAGCTCAACGGACCCAGGAGATGGTGCATTCACTAAAATAAAATTGTCATCTGCACAACGTATTGGCTTTCATGCATCGATAGTAGCTTCAGATGAAATATGTTATCTTTAATAGACCAAGGTTTTGTGAAGCCAAGTACCCAGCCCTATAAAAGTGATAAAGTAGCAATGAGTACAGCCTTGCCGAATACCAACCACTTCAACCTCCGCTACAGGTCCTCCGTCCACGGGTCCACGGATCCTGCAATCTCAGGAATGAACCGCGTTCGAGTTGAGCAAGATTGTGTTGTGCGAGTTAAGTTTGCGTCCGCAGAAGATGATAATGGTCGACGGGCGAAAGGCTCATAAACATCCTGGCAGGCTCTTAGTCAATAATGTAGGAGGAGTTGCGTTGTAATGGAAACGCAAATTTACATACCACAGATACTGTAGGTAACAGGTAAGTCGTAGATTTCAGAGCTTCTTCGTGCAACGCGCGTGACTTTGTATCTCGTTCAATTGCGATAGCGATAGTGACTGCGCCGCCGCGGTGAAGATGCTTACACTAAGTTCTATAGCTATCCCAGCCTATGCATAGCTCTCGGCTTCATTTGATCGGCTTCAAATAGCTGCACTAGCAGCTTTACTCCTACCCCAGAATAAATGTAGTATGTAAATAGAGACATCTTACCAAAAAAATAAACGCAGTTCGTGTAAAAGTCTCGTTGATGATGATATTGTATTGTGTTGCGATATAGTAACTACTACTAGTGTATTGGCAACTTATAAAGTGGCGGATTCCCACAACGTAGAAAGACAAAGTACTTCCGCACCCACCTGCAAATATTGTGTGCGTCACAAGGTTTTCGGTTCATGTTCATAGTTTATAGGCAACCCGGAGCGTTGCTCCGCGAGGGTTCACAGGTCGACGAATAGTTTCATGGACGATGATAACGGATGATAATTGAGTAAATCCCAAAGTTGTTTTGTTTTTAATCCTTAAAAGTACTACCAGCCCAACTCTCTAGTTGATTCTAATTGATTCTAACGTGGGCATCTACTGCGCCTGCTTCGCAGCCGCAGCATCTGCCCGAGAATGCGTAATTGAACAAATAGTTGCGCACATCGAAGTGCATCGATGCGGAAATGATGTTTCAGCCAAACCTTTGTGAGGTTGGTAACCAGCAAGCCCCGCTCTTCTTTATCGTGGTGGGTTCTCAGGAACCGAAAGCCACCAATTGAGATTGTCTGGTCTGATGAGGCCATCGGTGACATAACACCCTGGTCAGCGTCCAATGGCTGCGTTGGCACCAGCAACGAGAGAGCTATTTCATTCATTTTGCAGGTAAGGTATACCGTGCTCATTTTTGTACTATGTTGTGTGCTAACGATCAGACGAGAGAGCTACAGTAGCGGGACGAAGGAGAGACGCATGGTGCGTTGATCTTGACCATTTAACTTGAGTATGTTAGCTAAGTGACAATAATGATCCTCAATTCAAAAACAAAACAAACAAACTTTTAACTTGAGGGCTTGGGGGATAAATTGCGGAATGATAAATACGCTAATGGGCCAATTCCTTGGAAGTGGGTGCTTCAACGCAGGAAAAAATCTTGTTCAAACGAACGATGCTCGTGTCACTGTCGAGTTGAGCTGATTGTTTTGGCGACAGACACGAGGTTGGGCATCTTCGGCTAAGAGTGATTGGGTATTGAGCAAATTGGCATGTAAAAAAATGCAGCCTGCAGCTAGACAAGTCATGTTGTTCATCTTCAGCTAAGCTTGGTCGATTATGGCGCAAATTGATACGACTTCAGCGAAGCCATGACTCTCTCATACTGTACTAGAGCGTCCGTAAGTGTTTGAATGCAGGTTTTGGTCAATAATAAACGATTAGTATCAACCTTTGGTAAATAATGTGCATAAATCTTAGCATTTATCGACGGGTACCCGATTCCGGCAGATATTAGCTTAAACATTACAATTAAGAAAGAGAGACCCGGTTTGGTACCCGGTTTTGGAAAGTTACAAGTTTTTTGCCGGGGCAAGCACAGGTCTTCGACCTGTGAAATATGTCGGATTCCATCGGTACTCAGTTCTTTCAAGTCTCTTACCGCGGCAACTCTGCTCGGTTGTGAAGGGCGGAAACATGTCGACGCATAGTTAAGTAGGCTACGGCCTTCGTCGTGGTGTCTGCTTCCTTCACATCGACTGGGGCCTTACTCAACGAAAGCCTCTTAGTACACTTCGGAACAATATAGTAATTGAAAGAAGCGAATAAATACTACTGTAGTATTACTATTTACCAAATCACTGAGTCAGTAGTTTCAAGCTATCACAATCATTTTGTCAAATCTCAGTGAAAATCACTGATTTATGGAAATTCCTCACCGGAAACCTGATTACAACTTCAAGTTGGCCTATTTTCGCCGAGACCATAATTTGTTGGAGGCAGGCAGGTGCCAACTCGGCACATTGAATTCGTGCTTCGTCTGCACTACTTATTCGTGTTGCCCGATATGAGGCGTGTTATCCGCATAGCAGCAAAGTGCTACAGCCTAAGAGACAGCAATAAAAAACTTAAGATTCTTCAGGTGCACGAATTGCCACCATATAGCTATACTTAGTAAACCAAAAGCTCGCTCGAGCACATATTTCACATAAGTCCACGCGCAGCTACTCGTTTAACGCCCTGGGACAGACGCGAGGATACTTCTGAAGTTGTGACACAGTGTCGCTGCGTCGAGCCTCCTCCTTGTGTAGTCGCCACCGCACCGCTCGCTTCATTGACAGCATGTGCGTACAGCAGCAGCACCAACTGCATGGTCCGACGTCCGCTGTGGCGCCTGCGGGCTAGGGAGCCCAGTCAATCTCCGGTCGAAGCCAGCGTGACAACACGTGCGTACACAGCGCTGCCGGCATCCCACCGGCACATCCCGCTGCTGCTTGGACAGCGCACACCAAGCAGCCTCGTGCGCATGTCTGGACGGCAGCGATCAGCGCTCCAGGCGCTCGGCCGCGTCGGCGCGTCTTGCGCTTTGTATGCCGCGCTCCGGTCGGGGCGCTGAAGCTCCAGGCGCCCTGGAACTTCAAGCAGTATTAGATCTCGCAGGTCGAGCTGACTTCAACATAGACGTGCCCATCCCCTCGAGCGAAGCGCCGCGCGGCGATGATGCTCATCAGCCTGGATCGATTCCATGCTTACTGTACGTGGTCTCACTTTGGCACGGCCCAGGGCCCCGCAGACCAGGACGCTACGCTTGCTTGACCTTATAGCCGCCGCGCCTTCGACTTACCTCTCATCGAGAAGCAGGAGCTTGGGACACGAGGGCTGCCTGCCTGCTGCCAGCACGAACGCACACACTTGAGCCCGGCAGGCAAGACACGCGCGTGGGCACCCGCGGCACTTTCCGGCCAATCGGCGTCGGCGGACGCGCCCTTTCCATGAACGCGCCAATGCGATTGGCGGAAACCCCGCCCGCCGTGCTTGAAGTTGGCCCCGCTGTCTTGGGGCTCCTCACCCAGCTGGATCCTTTCAAATGCTTGGGGGTACGTACACCCAGCGGCTTCCAACGCCAGGGGCTCCGAAGCTGTCATTCTCCAAGTTGTCTTCCAGTGCGCAAGCGGTTCTCCATCCAAGCAGGCAGGACCCCTCCCCAGCTGCCCAAGCAAACCAACCCAAAAACCAAGAGCCTTCGAAAGCCATGGTCAAGTCCGACGTGTACAGCTCTCCGATCGTCTTCTCCCAGCTGGACCTGCGGGTGGGCAAGATCACCGAGGTGAAGGCGCACCCGAACTCGGAGCGCCACTACATCGAGAAGGTGGACATCGGCAAGGGCGAGGAGCTCGAGATGGTCATGGAGCACCAGCCGTACTTCGCCGAGGAGGAGCTCGTGGACCGCAAGGTCGTGGTGCTCTGCAACCTCAAGATGGTCAAGGTCGTGCGCACGCGCTCCACGGGCGCCATCCTGCTCGTCGCCAACGACAAGGGCAAGGTGGAGCTGCTGGACCCGAGCCCGGAGGCCGAGGTCGGCGAGCGCGTGTACGCGAGCGGCGAGGAGGTGCAGGAGCCCGTGACCCCCATCCAGATGAAGAAGAACAAGGTATGGGAGGCGCTGTGCAAGGACATCAAGACCAACAACAAGTGCGAGGTCGTGTACCAGGAGCGGTACCCAGTGCGCTCACGGGCGGGCCCCGTCCGCGTCGAGTCGCTCAAGAAGGTGCTCGTAACCAAGTAAGCGCGGCCGACTACTGGCTCGCGTGTCCCCGTGTAGTAGTATGTGCGTTGAAGGCTGGCGAACGACCGCAAGCGTGGAAGCGAGCTGAGTTCGGCAAGCAACCGCAAAGCAAAGGAGGCGTCTTCTCAAAAGACCCCCCAGCAAAGAAAGTGAAAACATCAGAAAATGTATCTACGAGTTGCTTGTGATCAAAAAAGGGAGGAAGAGGCGTGCATAGTCAGAGGAGGGTGGTAGCGGGCCGCTACTAGCGGCATGGAGGGAGGGATACAGGCGCAGGTTTAGCAGGTCTCAATGGGTGAGCTGGGTGGTGAAGGATGGCGGGCACGGCGCACAAGCGTTCACGTCCTGCAGCTTGTGAGTTGCCACGACTAGTGCCCCACGAGTAGAGCGTTTTTGAGACAAGATCGGGGTCATTTGGCGCAGTTCGTTTGTGATGCCAGTGGAGACCCAGCGGCCATCTTCTGATAACTACTACTACTGTAGTATCTCCGCCGGCTATCAGGGCTGGTGTCATTTTGAGCAGCAGCATTTATCCAGGCCTCGCCCAGTCAACGCGGCCGCTGCTACGCGCACAACTCATATCGTTTCATTGGTTTTATGTGGGTCGAGCGTTCTGGGCAACTACCGGTAGGCATCACTACATATATTGCTGCTTCGTCCTTGTCCTTTCTTCACTGCGACGATCATGAGTCGCCCGCGAACATGTCGTCGTCGCCGCCGTCCCCGCCGAAATCGCCGCCGCCCGTGTCGCCGCTGAAAGTGTACGTGTTGTCGGACACGCCACCGCTGTAGCCGCTGTATCCACTGTTGTTGTTGTTGTTGTGGCCACCGAGCATGGATCCCAGTGCTGCGCCAACGCCCAAGCCTCCCAGCGCCCCAGCGCACCCGCGGCCATCGTATTTGAACTGCCACTCTCATAGATGCCACGCAACGTAAGTTGCCAGAGATTAATATAATGCCAGAGAGGAAGGCAAATCGATGCACGTCCTAAAGTCTCAGCAGTTTATTGACCTGCTGTTGCTGCGTTCTATGCGATGGTCTCGCCCACTTTCTTGGCGGCGTCCTGCAGCGACTGGAGCTTCTCCTTCTGCCCCACGTCCAGCAGCTGCTTGTCCTCGGCCGAGAGCTCCTGGCCGAAGCGGTCCTTCTTCTGTCGCATGAGCGCCTCGTACGCCTCCCACTCGCGCAGGAAGAGCGGCACGAACTTGGGCGCCGCGTTCTTGTGGCGCTTGAACTCGTCGCGCACGTACTGGTCCCCTAGCACGCGCATGTGCGGCTCCAGCTTCTGCCGGTGCAGCGTCAGGATGCGCTTGTACAAGCCCAGCACCTTCGCCCGGTCCGCCATCTCCTCTGCAGCCTCAGAAATCTGATGGGGGTTACACACTCAGGTTACACTCAGGTTACGACACACGTAACCTACTTACACCATGGAGCCTGGAGCCGCACCTGGGTTACAAATCCTATAGTCGAGCTACCTTCCTTACCCGATGCCGATGCGCTCCATCGCCAACGTGAGCCTCGACTCGTGGCTCTTCGGGGAGGACAAGCCCAGCGACGCGGGCGCAGAGGCAGCCCCCAGCCGCAGCTCAGTGGTGGGGCTGACGTTCCCGCAACCGCGGAAGCGCTCGGTCCGCCTCACGGGCAAGACGTCGCCGCTGCGCAATGGCGTGCCCGACCCGTTCCCCGTGAGCTCCAAGCTGCGCAAGCTCTTCCGCCCCAACAAGCTGCCGCAGTGGAAGCGCGGAGGGAAGGCGACGCAGATCGACAAGCAGCGGCAGCTCGTGGGGCTGGACACCACTAGCTTCCAGAAGCTGCAGGGCCACGTGCCGTTCACGCTCAAGGAGATCGTCAAGGACCCCAAGAAGCTGCCGTACCTGCTGCAGTGGCTCTCGGTGGACACGGAGATCCCGAGCGACGCCACGCACAGCAACTACCACCAGGTGCTGCTCTTCCTCATGGAGATCGAGCAGCTGCAGACCGTGGACGAGGACAAGCGCCGCGAACAGGCGCTCAAGATCTGGCACAAGTACATCGACAACGCGTCCGAGTTCCAGATCGCCACGACGCTCGAGCTCACGCCCGAGCTGGAGCAGCTTGTGCGGGACAACATTGGCAGCAGTAGCAGGGTCAACGACAGCTTCTTTCCCATCCAGAAACTGGCCTACATGCGGCTCACGAGGGAGGAGATGCCGCGCTTCCTCAAGAGCGACGAGTACCTCAAGATGCTCATTGATACCGAGGACGGTACCAGGACCATCCCGATGGAAAGGATACTGCAGCAGCCGCGCGCGGCGCATTACTTTTTACTCTTCCTGATGCAGAGTCGACAGCACTTCGAGCTCTACTTTTGGCTCCATGTCGAGTACGTGCTGAAGCCTGTGTTGGAGGAGGCAAACTACGAGCTGTTCTGGCGGCTAGCGCGAGTGCTGGTGGATAAGGCGCAGAACGACTCACAGGCCATCACCCTGGCGACCAAGAACGATTTGTATCTCGCGATTGCCAGCCGTCGATTCGACGAGAAGCTTCAAGCCCCGCAGCCAGTTGCCAAGGCGCTGTTCAACAAGGCGCAGCAGGAGATTTTCGCCATGCTGCGCTCGTCGTGGTTTGATCGGTTCACAAGGAGCGATCTGTACAAGGTTGCGCTGCAGGACTCGCTTATTCACTTCGACCTTGTCGAGTCAAAGGAGGATTCTCCTCCCAAGTTGCTGTCCAGAGCCTTTTCGTCCGCGGAGTATTCCAGAGTGCAAGCTGTAGATGAAGATTCCGCATCGATGAGTGAAGGAGAGGGCGAAGAAGATAAAGCTGAGGAAGGAGACGAAGAAGCTCGTGCCGACAGTAAGGGTACTACCGACAACTCAGACCACATGAGCGCCAACCACAGTGAACAGGGCAGTGAAAGCGACTCTGTGGAGGAGAGTGAAGACCGCGAGTTCGCCAAAGTGGTGTTGAATCTGGAGAGCATTATTCGGCTGACGAAGCTGCCTGAGGGTCTGCAAGTGCACTATCGGCCAAATTACGAGTCACCAACCACGAATACCCCTGCCCCGAAGGAGGATAGCTGTGGAATTGATACAATACTGACCTTCGCGACGTTCTTGGAGACACAGGAAAGAGAGGATCCAGCCGGTACACTTATGCTGATGCCCGTTCCAAATCCACACAAGGACAAGGACAGCACGGACGAGTCATTCGATGACATCTCAAGACGAATTAAAACGTTCCTTGTTCCGAGTGGTCGGATCCTCATCAAGCGAGCAGGAGGTGAAAAATGCCCTGCCGATATGTTGTTCCCGTTCCAGCAGAGCGGTCGCAATGGGTTTCTGTTCGGATCGGTCTACTTGACGTATGAGCGTGTGCACGTGGGAACTTCCAACGAAGAGCACTATGTTGCTAAGGGTTTCTGCCTGCTTTCTCATCTACCGCTGGTAAACTCACTGAGAAGGCTAGTGGAGGAGCACGTGCAGAGCTCACAAGAGCAATCCAGTATCTTTGCACATGACCGGCTAGCTTTACTGTTCCAGAGCAGCATCAGTTGGAAAAGGACGACCATCACAAGTGCCAGGAGTCACACGTATGTACACCCAGAAATGCGACGCCTAGCTCATCGGAAGCACAGCAGCATTCTGAGTCTGCCGTTGAGTACGCTGGAAACGCAGGTCGATGTGCCCATGGCGATTCTGTTTGAGCAGTTTGGAACTGCGATGGTACTCCAAATTCTGGCGAGTGCTGTGCTCGAGTGCAGTATCGTGGTGGTGGCGAGTCAGTATTCACTGTTGACAATGTGCGCCGAAGCAATCCGCAACCTGCTGCGTCCATTCTCGTGGTGTCACGTGTACGCCCCCGTATTGCCGAAGCCGCTGCTCTCCTACCTTCAGTGCCCAACGCCAATCTTGGTTGGCGTGAACAGTGAGTTCGCGCTGCGATCGGATCTTCCTACGCGGGGCTTATACCTCGTTGCTGACGTCGATCGCAAGGTTGTCGAATACGTCGGTGACCAGTCCGTGGCGTGGCGTAATATGGGTCTGCGAGATGACCTTGGAGAAGACGTCATCTTCCTTCCTCGGTGTTTTGAAGCTGCGAAGCAAGAGCTGGACAGGTTACTCTTCCCAAGAGCTCTGCAGTACGACTCAATCGGCGGATGCGATACACTGGCCCCCGACAACGTCGATTGCTCCTTCGCTTACGCTTCTCCTCCTGACACGGAGGCCGAGCGCGACGAACAAGTTCGCGGCATCTGCTTCGACCTGTTCTCAGAGCTGCTGAGTGGCCACACCAACGCTTGTCTCGTGGTTGGAGACACGAAGGAGTCGGTGGTGATCTTTGACGAGACCGAGTTTCTCGCCACTCGTGCTGACGAAGATTTACCGTTCTACCGAGCTCTATTGCGTACCCAGGGCTTCTCAGAAATCGTTAGTGCGCACCGGATTAATATGAGCTCGAAGGAGACTGAAGCCGATGCAGAAGCCTTAGAGGCCGATGAGGACCTGCAGGAAGGAATAATCTAACCGGGCATTGTAAGTAAATGTGAATCACTTTGGTGTCGTGCACAGCTTGCATTTACAGTTATTGCTCCCTCGCAGACGCATCAGCAGTGGGCTCTTCAGCTTCAGTTCGATGAACCTTCTTCGCCGGAGTGCCTTCAATCTCAGCCTCGTCGTCAGCGTTTTCGTCGCTGCGACCTCGCTTGAGAGATTGCACATCGGCGGTGTCACTTTCGGGGTTCGTAGGCTCTTGGCTGCCATTCAAGTTCGCAACCTCCATTTCGGCGGTGACAGCCTCAGTAGCATCCGGGAGCTCAACGCCAGTCATAGCACTATCCTCTGCGGCAACGTTCGCAGGCGCCGGAGAACTCACCGCGGGATCGTTAGCAGCGACGTCTTCGACGCTGTCTAGCTCTTGGGTTGCCTCCGCTTCCGTGGACTGTTCTTCGCGAATACCATCTTCCAGCACTTGAGTGTCTTCCATGTCCTGAGTTTGACTCGCATCATCGTGTAACGTCTTGGAGGGCTGCACTTCAGTCGACGAATCTTCAGCGTTCATCTCTTCATCGTGGACAGCATTTGAGGCAGTCGCAGGCTCGCCACCAGTAGGAGCATCACCGGTGTTGGTTGACTGAGAAGGCTCCGCCGTAGCCTGCGTTGAGCCGCCCAACAGCATGTCATCATCGCTGTCTTCATCACTCAGATCTGCTCCACGGCGCAGACGTCGTCTGGGGCGAGCAGTGTCGAGCGTTGCGAGGTCCTTCTCCAATCTGGATTCTCGCACAGCTTCAGTACTTTCTTCCTGTTCACCATTTTGCTCACCGTCCGAGTTAGTTTGGTCATTCTCATCCTCATCCGATGAATCGTGAGTCTTCCGGTGAAGTTTCAGATATTTCACGCGACGTTCGATTTGCTCCGGGGTTCGGTCACGTTCCTGGAACATGTCTTCGTACGAAATGACTTCGTACACGGATGGCAGGTGGCGATACTTCATAAAAACCTTCGCAAGGTAGCGATCCTCAACCTTGCTCCAGTTCTTGGCACGCTCGGTTGCTGCACGAGAAATGGGTGCCTTCCGCTTTGGCTTGGGCTTGGCAGGTGAAGCACCTTCCGAGGGGTTTGAAGAAGCGTCGTCCGCATTAAATTCAGCCTCGCCCTCCTCTTGCTGACCTTCCTTGTCCACGAGAGAGGTCGACTGGAAATCCGATGGCCCTAGCGTAAACTGGAACTCTGCCTCACCCTCGAGCTCTTCATGATCCAGCGCAATTCGATGCCGTCTTGACTCATTAATTGCCTCGATTCGCCTCTCTCGTCCCAGGGCAACCGCCTCGGACTTGGATTTACTCATTGAGTCAATGGGATCGTAATTCCGCTGGATCAGCATGCATGACTTCGACGGATACGGCTGGCGTAGCAGGGCCTCAACAAATAGCAAATTGTTTTTGTCGGCCAGCGAGAAGAAATCCCGAACAACACCACGAATGAAGTCCAGGAAGTTCTTGTACTCAGGAAGGCGCTGGATGTACGTGTCTTGGAGCATCTTGTTGAACAGTAGCAACACGTGGATGTTGAACAGTATTGGCTGCATCGTCCATTCCTCTTGCTGGTAGATCTGGAAGTGCTTTGTCCGGTAGAAGAACGAGTGAATGTAGTGATTCACCTTCGCGCTGTTCTCACGGTAGTCGGCAAGCAGTGAGCAGTACATCCTGATGGTGTCGGACGACAACATGCTTGAAAAGTACTTCCGCACATCGAAATCGGCTTCCTTTCGCTGCATTTCCATCAGGAGCTGCGCTTGCCTTTCAGTTTCTTCTTCATCAGTGGAGCTTCCATCCGAATCCTCACCCTCTTTAGATTCCCCATCACCACGTTTTTTCTTCAGGCGCTTCCTGAAACAATGCGAAAGTGAGTGTCAAAGCCTATTGCATGCAGCCTACAATCATAAAACAACGTACTTGTCCAGGTAAGCCTTTCTTCGGGAAAGGACCTTGATAGTTCCCTGAGAGTCGAGTACCTTGAAAACCAGCTGAATTGAAAGCAGCATTCACGCACAGCTACGTTAGTCCAAGCCACCCAATGAATCGATTCAAAAAACAAGGATGGAGACGTACGTGAGTAAGAGTAACGACGTCTACCACGTATGCCTTCGGGAAAAGACCTGGGGACCACGTCTTGAGCAGTACTGGCAGGCGATCCAGGAAGTCACGTTCGTAGAAAATCTTGTGCTGCAAGGAATCAGCAATTCGCTGGAAACGAGGGTCATCACTCGCCGTGAGCTCAGCGAGATATGCCATCATTTCCGCCAAAAGCTGGACAGAAACCGTCATGCCGTGGTAGTTCTTCATCGTTGCGTAGTTTTCGATCGACTGCAGCACAAAGTTGAACGAGAACATATCCAACGTAGACAAAACTGCCTTTTCATCATAGTCGGGTTTCTCAGGAGCCGGCGGTGGGGGTGTCGTGAAATCCAAGGCATTTTGAAGCTCCGTCGTCTTCTTCTGCACAGCCTTCAGCTGATGCTTGTAGTGCGATTTGAGAGCTTGGACCTTCAAGCGGTGATACGTAGTGAGGAACCAGACGAGGTGGAAGTACTGAAGTCGATCTGTTGAGATCAGTTTGCTGCTTCCTCTACGGAACTCGTTCTTCAATGAGTTCGTGAGCTGGAAGTAAGACTTGGAAACGATAGAGTCGCAGACCTCTTGGAGAACCCGCATCGTACGCCTGCGCAAAAGTTACCACGCAAAAAAACACATACTAATCAGCACCTTCCTCCCACGTCAATAGTCATCCCCAAGCATACAACCCACTCGTCCGACTCGGTCACTTTTCCTTTCCCACCAAAAATCTCCTGGATGTCGGTCACTGGGGCAGCATTTTTCTTTCCTCTCCTCCTTGACACCGGCTTCTTCGCTGCCTGGGGCACCTGATCATAGACCGTTTTCGAGAAGTCGGACAGCACCGTGGTGCGTCCAGTGGGGCCGACCATGGTCAGGACGCCGCCAAAGTTGGAGTGGCGACGTGACCCAGACTGGTGCAGGGCCGACGCCTTCTTCTCACTATTCAGCTTCGCCAGTAGATCTCCACCGGCCGGAGCCGCATTGCGAGAAGGTCGAGAGTTACCCACGGGCGTAGAGTTAGCAGCCGGCTGTGCACCGGATCCCTTGGCCGTCTCGCCCGTCAGCTGCTTCTTGGCGAACGCCACGACGGACTTTGGCTGGGAGCAGTCGAGCGTGAGGTCGATCATCTCCATGATCAGCAAGTTCCACTCGCGGTTCTCTTGCGAGTCGATGTCCTGCGCGAACAACAGGATCATCTCGTACACGTTCTCCTCGTGCAGCGTGCAGATGAAGTCCTCCTGCAGGTGGCTGAAGTAGGACGTGGTGGACGTGACGAAGCGCGGGTCCTCGTTCGGGATGGCCAGCAGGTTCCGGATCAGCGTCAGCACGATTTCCATGTTCAGATAGTCCTGCGCCGTGCGCGCCGAGCCCTTGCGGGACAGCGGGTCCACCAGGATGGTCATCATGATGGGGATCACGCCGCAGCGCAGGAACTCGTGCTTGTACTGGCGCAGGTACTTGAGCTGCTGCGCGATGTTGGTCGAGTCCCGCGCCGGCTTCATGGTCAGCATGACGAGCACCTTGAGGATGGAGAAGACGAGCGACCAGTCGTGCTGGTGGTTCACGAGCAGCGGCAGCAGCTTCTTCTGCAGGATCTTCCACTTGCCCAGCTGCTTGGCCACCAGCTTGTGCTTGGCGTGGTCGCGCCGCACCGCGCGTTGCAGGTCGTGGATCCACTGCTCGCAGTCCTCGCCGCGCATGAGCACGGGCGCCTCGCCCGGCGCCGGCACGCGCAGCATGCCCAGGTTGGAGCACACGAGCAGCAGCTCGTTCATCATGGCGGCGTCCAGCTGCGGCTCGTTGGCGTCCGCGTCCTCGTCCGAGGAGGACACGCCGAAGTCCTCCAGCTCATCGTCATCGCGTTGGGCGGTGGCGCCCGTGGGTGTGGCGGCCTCGTCGCGGTCGGAGCCATTGCCGCTGGCAGCGGCTGCGGTCGAGGACATGGTGGCTTGAGTGCTGCGATTGGCGCCAAAACCGACCCGCGCAAAAACCTAACTCGGTGGTGTTTGGTGTGGTGTGGTGTGGTGTGGGTGCGATGCTAAGTGCGATCTTTGTTTTTTTGGCCGAAATGATTCTTGAACGGATTTTGAAGGACATTCATTATTGCAGGTTCTACTCGATCTTTTGGGATCGAGCCGAGATTGTCATGTCACTTGGGTTCACTATGGTCTCATTAAAGTACGGAATAAGACTCGAGTGCAGAGGGAAAAACTAGGGCGGAGCACCGGAGCAGAGAAAGACCGTGCATACGATGGCAGTAACACGACATGAATGATTTGACTTCAACTTGACCAACCTAAGGCTTCAATGCTCAGCGCGAGATATTTACGGACGAGCACTCCTCCGACCAGATCTATGGGAGTCTTTGCGGATATAGATATCGATAATTTTAGACTCGGAGACAACCAACGCCTTGTTTTAGAATGCATCTTCGCTCACTCGCCACAACATAACCCCCTTCATCTTGTCGCTACCACTACCAATGGAAGCCGTGGCTACAGGCGTGCCGCGAACCGATCCACCACCACCACTCGAAGCCTGGGCTACAGGCATAACGCGAACCGATCCTCCACAACCGCTAACGGCCATGGCTACAGAGCGCCGCGAACGTTTATCCTCGATCCTCCACCCCCACTTGAATATCCTACTAAAGAGACGCGGAGGCTGCCATTCATGCGTGGACCCGCGCCCACGGGTACAACGTCTCTCGAGTGAAGCAAGAGAAGAACGTCAACGGAGAAGTTCGCTATCGACTGTTCGAGTGTGATCAATCCGGTAAACCCAAAAACACAAGAAACATAGACCCTGCCGGTCGAAAGCGACCTATGGTTCGCTCCAAGAGGTCGTAGTGCAAAATGCGCATCAGTATTGTTGCGGTTGACACTTCCGATACGGCGGGACCCTGGCGAATAAGGCACACTCGAGATGGGAGCCGGTCTCACAACCACCCAGCCACTGACGAGGTCCGAATTCACGTCGCCCATCGCCAGCGCGAAGCAAAACAAATCAAGGCCAACCAATCAAGGTCCACCAACGAGCTCAGCACTCTGCAAACCATGGCTGGTGTCTCCAATGGACAAAGTTTGCGACGATGCTTCTCAACGACGAGTCAGCTTTAGTGATTCCTAAGGACATTTCAAACGCCAAAGCCGCTGCTCGTACGGCGTTGCTCGAAACCAAGACCAGCAACGAGGCGCTGTTCGAACTACTGCGCAAGAAGAATTTCATTTCTCCTACGAGGTGGACCCCGATACGAACCGGCTTCGCTACTTGATGTGGGCCCATCCAGCTACCACCAAGTTGGCCCGCTACTTTATGGATCTGCTGAAAGTCGACTGTACCTACAAGACGAATCGCTACCGTATGCCGTTGTTCAACGCGATCATACTGACAGGGATGAATACTATCTTGCCATTCGCGCAAGTTTGGCTGCCAGGCGAAGCCGAACCGTATTTCAACTGGGCTTTTACTAAGCTGAAGGAGCTCATGGAAGTGGCCTCCGTTCCGTTGCCGCTCGTGGTTGGCTCCGACCACGAGCTGGCCTGCACGAACGCCTCCGACACTGTTTTCCCGATGTCGGATAAGTTTGTGTGTCTTTGGCACATCCGGCGCAATGTTCTAGCTCAAGCAAAAAAGAAGATAGGGGAAGTAGCTGTTCGAAACGCTGCCGCTATGGGGAAGAAGAAAACGAACTTGCTGGCGACCGACATTTTCATGGCGAAGTTTGATCAGACGGTTGAGTCATCGATGACGAATTCGATGAACGGGCCCCGGGGCTGCGCAAGCTGAGCGCTGAAATGGGGAGATAACTCAATGCGCAGTGGTGGCCCCATAAGAAGCAATTCGTGAGATGCTGGACGGATAAATTCAGTCAGTTCGGGTGCCGAGACACCTCCACTGTCGAAGGAACCCACGCAACAATGAAGGGGTGGTTCGACAATTCTCGTGGGGACTTGCTGAAGGGTTTTCAGGACCTGATTCCGTGGTGGCTTACAGCGGCATCCCGAAACAGTCTTCGCGTATTCCATTTGTATTCCGGGGGGTTGAACGATATTCTGCAATCGTCAAAATAATCAGTGTCTGGGCAATCACAGAGACGAACGCCTTGTGGGCGAAGGCTCATAAAATTGTTGTTCATGGGCTAGAAAGAAGTACGTACACGGGGACATTTCGAAGAACCCATGGCTGTCCTTGCCTGCATGAGCTCATGCGTATCATCGACTCTGAAGGTCTGCTAAAGCTGGAGCCACTGCACTTTGATTGCCACTGGTGGCTCTCACGAGTGCGCCTCCACGCATCATAGAGCCTGCCTCCCTCCGCAGTGAACGACAACAAACCCAACATGACCCCCACCGATTCGGATACGGCATTCACACACGCCGCAAGGCTTCCAGATTCGAAATCATTGCGCAAGACCTAGCAGCCGCAACAAGAACCCCAGCGCAACTATCGTCCTTTCAAGCCCTTCTCAACTGCGATGATACCGAGTTCCAGCAGGTATTTTCTCCGCCCCGTACGTGGGGTTATGCCGGTCTGCGAGCACTAGACGAATGACCGCTTTGACTTTAAGGTGCACTGTGATCTGCATTCTAAAATCCATACACGTATCTTCATCTCGATCTTGCGTTGAAGTCAAATCATTCATGTGGTGTTACTACCATCGTATGCACGGTCTTTCTCTGCTCCGGTGCTCCGCTTTCGGTGCTCCCTAGCTTTTCCCGAGTGCAGACCCAGAGAAGCCCGTTCAACCCATCTCGGTCGATTTCAGAACAACTTGAGATTTGTATGCAGGGATTGAACCCATGTCGCTAAACCAGCCCGAATCGAGTATGGGTGGCTTCAGCGGATTATTTGGCTGGCCTTGGCGGAGGTCATCGATCTGTCCTTCGCCGTACGACCACGTCTAAGAACAATGCGGTTTGTGTGTATGGCTTATTAAGTTGTTGAAAGGTATGATAGAGTGCTGAGTAAGCCAGGTGGTACCGCGACACACACGCGTTTAACGCATGTGCGCCATCTCAAATGTGTTTGCTTAGCCTAGATGGAATACACATCGCCTTATTTAGTAGAGACGAAAGTGCTTAGGGTGGAGCTGAAGAGCCCTCTTTTAGATCGTGCACCCCAAGCACAAGTTGACCTCCACCCCCAAGGCCGGGGAGATTTGCCACCACCAGCGCTCTCCTCCCCTACCTACTGTTGGAGGGTGTGATGTCACACGCTCGCGTCTCCACGCCGCGCTACGGGATTGCATATGGACTTGCATTGGATAGTGAGAGCAGGATCGTACGACCGTACGTTTGCGTAGATTCGTACGACTTTGCGCGTGAAAACTTACGACTCGTATGTTATAGCATAATCGTACGACTTTACGGATAGGATGCAGATAAGGATAGGAGGCCTTGCGTTCTGGTCGGCCTAGGGCGACCAATCAAGTAGGTAGAGTTAAGCGATTCAATCTCACACTCACGTTTGGTTTTTCAACCTCGCCAACAAGCCCTTCTTCTTCTACTAGCCCCACACCGCTCTTCCTTACCTTCCATTAGGTTATGAGCCCAAGCAACGACAACTCCAAGTTCAAGGTTGAGGCCTTCGACGGGTCCAACTACGCGCTGTGGAGCTGCAAGATGAAGATGTACCCGGTGTCCCAAAGGAGCGCGGAGCTGTCTGCGAAGTTTGTGCGACGGCTAAGCAGTCTCGCAAGCCTTTCAGCTCAACGAAGAATGCGTTGGAAGCAAGGGAGAGCGCACGCAAGGACACGTCGGTGTGCTCGGATGTGTTGGGCCCCATCACGCCCGTCTCCAAGTCGGGCAACGAGTACATCGTGACCTTCATCCTGATGAAGAGTCGCTACTTGGTGACCTACCCGATGCATAACAAGAGCGAAGTGTGTGGCGTGTTCCAGAAGTTCCGGAAAGAGATCCAAACGGAAGCTGGATTGAAGATGAAGGTTCTTCGCAGCGACAACGGTGGCGAGTACTGGAACCGATCGATGGAAGCTTCGTGTGACGACAAGCTGATCAAGCATGAGTTCACGGTGCCGGAGCAGAATGGGATGGCTGAGCGGGTGAGTCGGACTGTAGTCGAGATGACTCGCCGCATGTTGAAGGAGAGCGGACTGGACAAGTCGTACTGGTGCGAGACCATGCTGACGGCGGTGGATATTCGGAACGTGTTACCCAACACTTCCAACCGGTGTTGAAGCGCAAGCCGCGTCTGGATCACATGCGAGTGTTCGGAACCGAGTGGAACCTCGGAGAAGACGGGAGGTCTTTGTGGTTCAGAGAAATTTCGGGACTGAGTCCTTACCCTATCCTATGTCCTTGCTACTGGCTACTCTGTACTACCGCTTGCTAAGCCTACCGCTCTGGGCCTATCCCTACTTCTGTCGTGCTTGCACTGCCGTCCTTCAACCTGGTTTGCGTGGCGCAATCAAGATCTTACCTCGGCGCGTTTCGGTCGGCGGGGGTTAGGGTCAGCGCGTTTTGCTCGGCGCGTTTTGCAGAACCGGGCGTGCTGGTTGACCCGCCGGATGATTATGCGTCGCACTGGATTCTGGCACCGTGTCTCACGGCCCATCACCCACGCCGAGTTTCCCGTCGAGCTCGGCCCTGCGTCGCGCCCATCAATCCGCGTCGCGTTTCATCAGCCGCGTCGAAGTCCATCACGCGCGTCCCGGCGCCTTCTTCCTCCGGCGCCCGGCGCGCCCACTTCTTCCGCGGGGTACTACACCACAGTCGTCCCGCTGCCACGCACGCGCACTCCCCAGTTGGGTGTGTCGTCGCAGAACCTGCCCGCGCCTTCGCTTCGTCTCGACACCATCGCGTTTCTGCCCTCGCAGTCCGCTTCGCGGTACTCCAAGCTTCATGGCTCGCCGCCACGACGTCGACGTCAACGACATCGACCTGGAGGAAGAAGAGCTTGACACCGACGACCTCGAGGCCGCTGGCTGCGCGGTTTGTGCCCTCGGCGCGCATCGTCCTCGCCTCCCCGTCGCGTCCCAAGTCCAGCTTCCGGCTTCAGATGCCCCGGTCCACTCGGTGACTGCTCTTGTCGCCGACGCGCACACTCTCCAGCGCGAGAACCAGGAGCTGCGCGCCCAGTACGAACTCGTCTCAGCGCACAATGCGGGCTTGGCTACTCACGCGTCCGTGCTGCATGACCGCAATCTCGCGATCTTGCATCGTGCTCGCGAGGGTTATCGCGCAGGCATGATCCGGCTCGAGCAGGCGCTCCTCTCCCGGGAGCACGCCGAGCGGGATTACGCCGACGTAGAGGACCGAGTAGCCGACTTCCGCGCTCGTGCTGAGCGCGCGGACGCTGCCGAAGCTCTACTCCGCGCCGAGCGAGGCTCCTCGACTGAGCAATACTGTGACCTTCAAGGTCAGCTTCGGGCGGCGCAAGACCAGATCACTGACTTGACCACCCAACTCGCGCACACTCCTGCTACGCCGCCTCCATCTACCGTGCCGCTAGCGCGGCTGTTTGCTGCACAAGGCGAGCGTGACGAGCTTCGCATCGACCTCGCAGCCGCCCAAGCCGCCCTCGCTCCTGTCCGAGCGCGCGCGGACGCCGCCGAAGCTGAACGTGATCAGGTGCGGCAGCTCGTGACCACTGCCGAGTAGCAGCGTGACGCCGCCCTCGCCGAGCGTGACCACGTGACCCGCGTTCTCGTGGTCGTCGAGCAAGAGCGCGACCGTGCTCTCGACATGCGGGATCAAGTGTGTCGAACCTCCACGGCCCTGAGACGCGAGCGAGACGCTGCTGTCACCGAGAGGGACCGGGCACGTCAAGCCGTGGCCGCCCTTGAGCAGCGGCGAGACGCTGCCGTCGCCGAGAGAGATCAGGCTCGTCAGGCCTTGACCGCTCTGGAGCAGCAGCGCGCCCCTGTCGACGAAGAGCTCCGCGCGGCCCGTGCATCGCTTTCTCAGAGCCGCATGGAGATCGAGGCGGCCCAGAACCTGAACGTCCCGCTGCAGGACGACCTTCGGCGCGTCAACGCGCTCTTAGTGGCCAACGCCGAGGAGCTCCGCCGCGACGCGCCGCGTATCCACGAGCTGGAGGAGTCAGTGGCTACTGCTACGACTCTCCGTGTGGCCGCCGAGTCCGAGATGGCGCGGGCTCAAGCTGGCGAGCTTTGTGCCGCGACTCGCGCGGTGCAATATCGAGCTGGGTGGCTGTCCATGCGACGGTCGTCTCAGCAGCGACGAGGAGCAGTCGGCGCGCAGACCCATCGTCCCAGCGCTCGCGTCGCCGAGCTGGAGGAGGAGCGCGACTTGACCATCCGAGAGCGCGACGAACGCGCTGTGGCTTGGCGTCGGATGCTTCGAGACGCGCGTCGGGGCCGAGAGCTGGCGCGGCGGGTGCGCGACGAGCTTGCTGATCGTCTCGCCGGCGTCGTAACGCGTGTAGGCGGGCAGATCGACACCGCTGACCTGGTCAGACGACTCGAATCCACTTTCACGGTGGGGATCGACGGTGCGATCCCCCTCCCCCCTGATATTCCTACGTCCGCAGCAGTTCCTGCGGCATCCGCGGTTCCTGTTCCTGCTCCAACTACGTCGAGCTCTGGTGCCCGGGCGGGCTCGTCGGCTTCGACGGCGGGATCGACGACTGGCGCTTCCCCTCCAGCAGGTCCTTTGGGCTCCCGTCCTGCTCCGACTTCGTCCGCTGCCTCGTCCTCGTCAGGTTTTCGGCGACCTCGACACGGCGCGTCGAGTCGTTCGGGTTCTCAGTCACGCGCGTCTAGGCCGTCAGGAGTGGCGTCCGCTACATCATACGGCTCTTCGCCCCTTCGACGTGGTCGGCGGCCCTCTACCGTGGCCGACACTGCGGCTTCCGACAACGCCGCTGCGCAGGCCTCATCTGCAGCTACACCCTCTGCGGCCGCTGCAGCTGCAGCGCGCGCACGAGAGGACGCCTCGCTCTTCGGATCCGAGTCTTCGGACAGCGAGGACCAAGCGCGGCGAGCTCAGTCCAAGCACCGCCGGCTGCATAGCCCCGGGTCTCGCTCACGGTCGCCGGCGCGTCCGCCTCCACGTTCGCAGTCACGTTCCCGGACACCCCCGTGCTCCCGTTCTGCTTCGCGTTCCCGCTCGGCCTCTCGTTCGCGTTCGCACTCGCCTCCACGCTCGCGCTCGCGTTCTCGCTCGCCCTCCTTGGCGTCGACGCGTTCGGCCGGCTCAACGCGTTCGGCGCACGCGGCGGGGTCGGCGCACTCGCGTCACTCTTCTCCTACACGGCCGACGCACTCCTCGTCGAGGGGCCGTGCGGCAGCCGGAGCTGGACCAGGCACTGGTCCAGGCGATTCGGGCAACTCCAGCGGTAACGACTCGTCCGCTTCCTCGTCGTCCCGCGCCTCGTCGTCCCGCGACTCGTCCTCGAGCACCGCCTCCAGCGGCTCGGCGGGGAGTGCTCCGGCGGCGCCCTTCATCGACCCTGTGATTCCGCCTGCCGGAACTCCGTCTGGCTGGCGGCAGCCTCGCTACGCTCCTTGGCCCAAGCGGGTACGACGTCTCCGCCTTCATCTCATCACCGTGCAGGAGTTGCGAACGCTCTTCCTGCCGCCGCCCGGCTGGATCATTCCGCGCCGTGTTCCCCCCGCGCCTGCGAACTGGAACCGCGCCCTCGTGACTCTGGCCAACGTGGACGCGCCATACGCGACTCGACCGTGGCGCTACCTCGCTCAAGCCGCTGAGGCGCTTCTCTTCGCGTCCGGCGACGCGGCGTTCCGCCCATTCCTACGTCGGCTCCGGCACCACATCGAGCACTGGGCTCAGGCGTACTGGGAGGCCACCCATGAGCTCTTCGTGCAGGGCGCGGCGTGGAAAAGGTGGCGCACTGCTCGCAACTCGCGTCGCTCACACGCGGGCAACCACCTCAACAGCCTGTTGCAGCTGGTGGTCGGGCTGTTCCAGCAAGGGCTCGCAGACATGGACCTCTTGCTGGACCCAATGGTGCTTCACTTTCCGCCCGCGCACACGTCGATCGGACGGTGGTATCCAGGCCTCCAGCACGCGACGTTGCAAGCCGCGCTCGACGACATCGACGCGCAGGAGCCCTGGCGCCGGTTCTATCGGACGCCGCTCACTGTGGCCGAGATGGACGCCAACGTACGCTGCCGAGTGACGCGCGATCACCCAGCCTTCCATGTGCCGCGTCTTGCAGGTAAGTTTGTCCAGCAGGTTTGAGTCTTGGCCCATCGTTGCAGTCCGTCGCGTTTAGTTGTTGTAGCCGTAACTTCAACACGTAGCCTTGATCCTTTCCCTTGTTTCTTTCCACTTCTCCACATCTTTTATGAGACGGCCCTCCGCCGTCCCATCTTCAGCAACAGGCTGGTCCTCTTCACTTCCCTCATCCAATCCCTCGCTCCGGCCATTCCCAGAGTCGAGACTTCCCACCAGTCCTCCCGTCGGCAGCCCCCCTGCCGACTTAGTCGCACCCGTGGGCGCTCACCCACTAGGATCCGCCGCCTCCCCGTTCTCGTGCGACTGCATCGCCTCGAACCGGTTGCGTCAAGTGCGCTCGCGCAGGAAGTCGTACATGGGCCCGCCGCAGTTGAGGTCGAGCTCGTCGACCCGCGGTACTCCTTCTACTTGACTTCGAACTCGCGTCGCGTACGACCGTACCGGGTTGCACGGCCCTCGCGCACGTTCACGAGCTTCTCGACTTCGAAAACGTCGTCATCCAGTTCGCGCGTGGCCTCCCAGCTGGCCTCCGGCAAGAGCTCCTCGTCGAAGTCGAAGCGCTCCTCGGCCGGCACCGTCAGCTGCGTCGCGGGTCGCGACGGGAATTCCAGGACGGGCTTCAGCTTGGAGATGTGGACGGCGGGGTACAGCTGATAGGGCGTACCCGTCGTCTCGAGGCGCACTGCGAACGCGCTGACCAGATCGGCGACGCGGAAGGGTCCGTGCCACATGTGCGCGAGTTTGCGCGCATACCCCGGCTTCACCCGATCCAGGTACAGCCAAACTTGCGAGCCCGTCGCGATCTCATGTCGCGTCGCGTTTTCAGTTTGTCGACGCGCTCTCTCTTCAACGGCCTCTCGGACTAACTCCAACGCTTGTGCCCTTGCCACCTTGTAGTGTCGCTGGATACGGAGCCTCCACCGCCTCGCCTCGGCGTCCCGGGTCGACGTGTTCCCGACGGCCAGCGTCGCTTCCAGCGTCGACCGAGGATCCCAGCCGTGCACTAAGAAGAACGGGGTTTCATTCCTCGTCCGGTCATGCGACGTGTTTAGCGCGAAGGTAAGACACTCGGCGTATTCGTCCCAGTCGCGTTGGTCGACGTCTGCGATGTACGTCTTGATCGCTCTTGTAACCGTCTGCACCATCCGTTCTGCAGCCCCGTTGGCTTGGGGACGATAAGCAAGCGTCGCTCGCTGTCTCTGACCCATGAGTGTGCTGAACGCCTTGAAGAAGTCGGACATGAAGCCCGGCTCGCGGTCGTGGCGGATAGCCTCGCTCGCGCCGAAGCGCCTGAACACCGCCTCCTCGTACGCCTCGGCCACCGTCTGCGCGGTTCGTGACGTATTCGCTTTGACCACGACGAACCCCGTGAAGAGGTCGACCCAGACTAACAGCTCTATGTTGCCTTTGTAGGATGCCGGCAACGACGGAATATGGTCCATGGCAACGACCTGGAACGGGTACGTTGCGACGATGTTGCCCGGCGACTCGCCCTGGATGGTCGGCCGACCCTTTTCCGTCTCGCAGTCGGTGCATTCGCCGACGTAGCGCTGGACGCATCTGAAGATCCCGGGCCAATGGAAGTGGCGCCTCACGCGTTGGTACGTGCGGCCAATACCCTGGTGTCCGCCTTCCAGGCTTGCGTGATAGTGGTGGAGTACATCTTCCCGAAGAGTCTCCGGGATCACCAGCTTCATCATCACATCGCGATCCTCGGCGGAATCGTCGCTTCTCGGCTGGTAGTAGAGCCGCCCGCCTTCGCCCTCTTCGTACTGAGGCGCAAGCTTTTGGCAGTTCTTCACCTCGCGCCGAGATAGGTCTCCGACGTCGCCGCGGAGATACTTCTTGAGGTTGACGATCCAGACCGCTTCGTCCTGGGCGACGCGGATGCGGTCCAGGCGCAGTCGTTGTACCACCAGCTCCTCCAGGACTTCTGGAGGTCGGCCCCTACGAGTTGTCGTGCGTGCGGCAGCCGAGCGCTTCGTCACCGCGAGGACGTGTTCCTCCCCGCGTCCCGCGTCCATGGCCTTCTCGACGGGGCCATCTGCGCCGCGCGTTTTCTCGTCGCAATTTTCCGCGTCGAGATTTTTCGCGTCGAGGTTGGCTGGAGACGCCATCTCGGGACTCGATGCCCGTGGCCGGATGACTTCTTCCAAGTGGTTCAACGTCTTCAGATCTTGAATCTCCCCGGGGCTGTGCGCGTTGCGGCCTCCTTGACGCTGCAGAGCTTGTCCAGCCAGTATGTCAGCTCTCGTGTTCTAGTCTCGTCGTACGTGAAAGACTCCGTGGCGCGGCCATGCCTGGAGTGCGTTTCGCGCCTTTTGTCGTAGCAGCTTCAGCCCTGGTGACTTGCAGTCCATCTCGTCCCGCATCTGCCTGATGACAAGGTTGGCGTCTCCGCATACGACGAGTCGAGTGACGTCGTCGAGCTCCTCTAGAAGAGAACATCCGAGCAGCAGCCCGCGGTATTCCGCCTCGTTGACCGTGAGATCCGTCGCATATCCCGACGCGGCGCGCACGATCTCCCAGTTCGACAGCTGCCAAATGACGGCTCTGTATCCTCCGCCTTCTCGCTTCGCCTTAGCCGATCCGTCGAAGCTCAAGACGTGCAAGACCTCGTCGCGCGCCACGTCGGGGACTGGAATGACTACAATCCTGGGCGCCCGTTTCCGTGGGGCGATCTCTTCTAGCGCCGCGTCGACGAAGGCTCGCGGTGTAATGCTCGCGGTCAGCGCGCCGAGAAGTTCTTCTTCTCCCCTCATGGATCGGCAGATTTCCAACTTCCACGGCGAGAGGATCGCGGCCCCTGTGATAGTCCCCCTGTAGTCCCTTGGACCGGAACAACCAGGCGAGCGTCGTGTGACGTGTCAAGACACGGACCGGTCTCCCTGCTAGCATCGTGTAGCACTCATTCAAGACGCGCAACAGGGCCAAGATCTCTATTTCGACGATGTCATAGTTCAGCTCGTTGGGCTTCAGCGTGAGACTGGTGAACTTCACAGGCATGTATGCATCGTCGTGGACCTGCGTGAGCACCCCTGAGATGGCCCAGTCGCTGACGTACACGATAACGACGGGTTCTCAATTCGCGGTCGAAGTGCATCAGCATTGAGGTCTCGGCGAGTTTCGCCTTGAGTGCGTCGAAGGCGCGCTTCGCGTTGGTCCACTTCTCTTGTTCGCGGACCTCTGGACGCGTGATGTACTCGTCGAAATCGGTCTCCGTCAGCGAATACAGCGTGGCTGCGTACACCGCAAAGTTTGCAATGATCCGGTGGTAGTAATTGAGACTACCCAAGAACGATTGCAGGCTCTTGAGCGTGCGCAGGAACTCGAGTGCCGTCAGCGACTCCAGATTCTTCGACTTCGCCTCTAGACCGAGTCCTGAGACTCGATGGCCTAGGTAGTCGACCTTGGACATGCCCCACTCGCTCTTCTCGACGCTGATGGACAAGTGTCACTGCTTGCAGACATCCAGTAAGCGTTCGACC